TGGGATGAGGGCTGGTTTGTTTAGCTGTTCCGAGTCAAAGAGAAAAACTGCACGGAAGAATTCCTGGACTGCATGAGCAAGCCAGCCTCATAACTCATGATGGATGAAGATTTCCTGTGTTTGTTTTGAACAAGCCTGGATTGGTTATAAAAGTATATCTCCTTTTCCCCAGAGGATTTGCTAATCAAGGTGGATGGCAGGCATCAGAATAAGCTCATTTGTTCAGGATGGCAGGAGGACGCTCGGGTTTGATGGGTAAGCCTTGCCTTAGGCAGCCGGGCGAGTGTCTGGTTCTGCAGCCCCACAGTAGGCCCATACTTGGGCTCACCCACCCCAGGAAGTAGCTGCTTCCTCCTCCCCATTTTAGGGTTTGGAGGCTGAGACACAGGGAGTTTCTGTCTTGTACTTTATTATCTAATATCCAGTTTCGAGTTAGTATTCAACAAAACTATCTACTACTGTTGGGAACCAGCAGTTAGCGTAATGGCTATGTCGCTGGACTCCCACGTAGTCGACCGCGGTTCGTGTCCCGGACCCGGTGGCTTAAAAAAAAAACTCACGCTGGGCGCGTGTGCGTGCGTGCCCAAGATCCCGAGAGGAGAATGGAGGAGAAGAGATTGCGGCGTGACCATCCCCCCTTGGGGGTGATTTCTCGCTTTCTGTCTCTATGTCTCTCTCTGTCTGTCTGGCGAGCGCACGCGCCCTACAGTGAAAATCTCTCCAAAAAAAAAGTAAAAAAAAAACAACAACAACTATCTACTATTGTTTACAGCATTTAGAGGCCAAAAGCTAGAGGAAATAGAGGCCACCTTGTTGATTAGTATGAATATTAGTATTTGCTAATACTATCTGGGAGATCAATTCTGTAGCAGTCTGGTTTAGATAGTTCAAAGCGATGGATCTAACATTCTTATCTGGGGGAGCCCAGGAAAGGTGTGCAAACATGGTACGGGCTACATTCTCATGTACGGATGGCTAAAACTGTGTTGGCTTCACGTGATGCTCTCACCCTAAACCGAAGACGATATTACTATCCCGAAGTTAATTATCCCGTGCCACGCCTCTGCCCCACTGGTCTTCAATGTTGATTTGTAAGCACGTGTGATTATTTAGATGATAATCCTGCTTACTGGCCTCTGTAGGGCAAAGCCTGACACCTTTGATCTCATTTATTTCCTGGCTAACAGCCGAACGTTTCCTTAGAGACTGTGGGTTGGGTTTTCCTCACCACCAGTATTAATGTATTCCACAGAGGGGAGGAGATCCAGATTCTAGTCAAGAAACCATTCTGATTTCTTTTACATGGAAACCTTCAAATAATGTTAAAGGAGTCTGTTCTTTTTAATCTGCAATTTTAAGAAACAAAAGTGTGATTTGTTTCAAATGCTATATTAAAAACAGTTTTTCTTAAACAGAACATAAACAACCCAAAATAAGAAATTTGAATGGTAATCAGGCTAAGACTTACTCAATGGAGAATTTGTTTCATATGTGAAGATCATTAGAGTTTCTCTAAGCCTAGGATCATTGCTATTTTAAAGTAATATGCAATTCATATTCATACTATCACAATTTTTACCTCATGTAAAGTATCTTATTTTTCTCCTATGGTGGTAGTTTTTGGCTAGATGGCAAAATATTCCAGGGATTAAAAAAAGTAATTCAAGCACAAACCTAATAATTTAAGAGAAAAAATACCGAATTAAGAAGGCAAAGACATATAAAGTAGATAAACATATTCCAAGTGAAGATTTTGGGTTCATTTGATCTTATTTTTCAAGAGAGATTTTTTTTTTTGCTATAGCGCACATACACTCACCAGAGAGACAGAGAGAAACAGAGAGACAGAAAGCAAGAAACCCCCCCCCCCGACGGGGGATGGCCACGCCACAATCCCTTCTCCCCTATTCTCCTCTCAGAATTTTGGGTGCACGTGCACATGTGTCCAGCATGTTTTAAGTTACTGGGTCTGGGACTTGAAACATGGTCAACTACCTGGAAGTCCAGTGACATAACCATTACGCCATCTGCTGATTCCATTTCATTTGATATTACATTTGCATTCTTGTACCTTGTGTATCTCCATTTATGTCATTTTACTAAGCTCTGATTTACTCACATTCTGGTATTTTATGGAAAGGGTCTGACATGAGAGTTGGTTAATGGATTGTTGTGTAAATAAACAAAGCTTTGCTAAACATAGTCTTAAATTCATAGGCAACTGTGAATTTAAGAGCTAGAATGGAATTGAGAACTTCTTTGATAATTTCTTTGATAACCGTGACAAGGAAGTAGAACATAAAATGTTATCACTGTAATAGTTAAACCGAATTTATGTCATAAATATGACAAAATTGGAGCCAATATCCAATGAGACATTTCCATGTATGTGTTTGTATGTATACTAACTTACGGTCCGATTCTTCACTGTTTATTTCATTACATACCGTTTCCCTCCTATCAATTGATGCACAGTGACTTTTCCTCCTCAGGTTAGCCTTTGCCTCCCTCTGGTATGGGTGCCGAGGAGTCTATACATTAGGTTCATCTGTATCTGGCCCTGGGCAATCCTAATTTTATCCCCATCTCTACTAGGGAAAAGGGAGTCTAAATCAGCATTCTCAAATTATGCTCCAGCAACCAGCAGCCACTAGCATTTCCTGGAATATGGTAGAAATGCAAATTCAGGCCTTGTCCCAGACCTACTAGATCAGAAATGTGGACAGGGACCCAGCAATCTGGGTTGCAGGGTTTTGGCAAGCCCTTCAGGTGGTTCTGATGTTCACTGAAGTTTTAATGCCGTTGGTCTTAACTTATTCTTGCAGCCCTGTTCCCTATCTGCCTGGGTTAACTTCCCAGGCACCCGCATCTCCAGGAACTTCAGTTTTCTCCCTTTAGTTTCCTCGTGACTGGGTCTCTGGTCTCTCTGACTGAGTTTCTGCCCTGATTTCAGATTTACACTCCAGTTCCCAGCTGAGATAATTATCTTTCCCGCTAGACTGGAGTCCTGTCAGTTCCTTTCCCTAAATATATCATAATTCTGTCTTTACCCAGTTCCTGGTTGGTTACCAAGTCTGGCACTAAATTGATGGGGCTTTTTGGAGCCAATTTCCAATGGGCATCTCCATGACCTGGCCACCTGATGCTCTGTCCCCAACGGGCCATAATATCTGGCCTAGGTTGACTGCTAGGCACCTTTTCCCTGTGTGCTGTGGTTGGCATCACTGCCCTTCCTTTTCAGACAGTATCCCATATGACCTGGATAATTGTTCAAACCTGTCTAAAGCCCCACTCTTAAATCCCCTCTCCTGGCTGAACCAGTCATCAAGAGACTGTGTGAGTTATGACACCTAGTTGAAGTCAACGGATGCCTTGGGAAAACACTGTAGGAGAATTAACTAAATACTGTAGGATAAAACACATTACTCACTTGGGGACAACTTCTTCAGAGTGAAGAAAGAAATAGTAGAAAACAAGGTACATTTGATTAAGAAAATGTTGACATGACTTTATGATTATGCGTTCAATCATCTTATCAATAACTTACCTGATAAGGTACTTAACACTTTCATTTTGTGGGGATTCGTATTCTCTAACCTTTGTTTTCTAAGCCTCAATTTTTCCATCCGTGAATCCATCTACTAAATTTTATTTTCCAGAAACCTTAACACACCACTATCTTACTAACAGTTCACAGGGGATCCAGTGTTATCGGGTTTAATGCAATGTGTGTACTCATCCATAGGCGCCTACGGGTAACCACCACTGTGAAAGAAATTGCAGGTCACATTTATATGCCTAGGAAATAACTCAACAAGCATTTCAAAACATTCTCTGTGCACCTTTAGTCAAAGCCCTGTATGTGGTTAGCAATATTCACAGTACTTCAAGAGGTACTTTTCCCCTTGAATTTGGTTTAATGGATAGCCACTTGGCCTGGTTTAGGCATAAACTTTCTAATACTGAACTTGTGAGACCTGCTTCTGCTTACTCTTTGTTCAATGGCTAGAAAATGATCAGCAAATACTCAATAAAAGCATTTAACTTTGTGGTTATGTTCATTTAACTTTTCATGAATTATTTATTCAATCCTACTAAGTACCATGTTCTATACTACAAACTGGAATAACAGAGTCCTTGCCTGTAAGAATCTTTTTGGAAGTCCTTTTTCCAGTCAGATGGATAGTCAGGGGTCGTAGGTAGGAATTTGCAGTACAGAGAATAGATGGGACCAGGAGGGACCAGATGTATGGATTTGAAAAACAAAAGCACTGTTGTTACCTTCTGGGATATGATGATGAGAACTCATGGAAACATTTAAAGACGATAGTATTTTTAAATACTTTTACCCATTTTCACAATTGGTACCAGCTAACCATTTTTGTCAAGTCATCTGCTACCTCCATACTCCAGGGTTATAGCAATCATTTTCCAGACACTATTGAAGGGAGGGTCCCTGACTGAAGTCTTGACCCCCCCCCTTTCCTGTGAGAAAGTATTTAACTGGTGTCTACAGCTCCATATTGTGAAATACGGCTCATTGACCAAGTACATTTAAGCCCTACCTATGTCCTTCTTTCTTTCTTAGGTGTTGTAAAACTAATAACAAAACCAATTTAATTTCTCTTTGTTAAGACAGCTTTGTCTGTATCAATCCCACTGTACAGTGAATATCTTGATGAAAGACCTGTGTCTTACTTATTTTTGAAAACTCTAGTATAGTACATTGCACTTAATTAATATTGTTGATGGGAAAGGCTAATAGATGAATAAATTCGTTTCTAGGGACAGACTGTAAACAGACACTATCATGGGATTTCTAAGACTCTTGGAAAAGTCACCTTAGTGTGAGGTCACATTGTTTCACCTTGTAAGTGAAGGTCACATTGAATCTAGGGAATGCTAGGGTACAAACCGGCCATTGACTGTACTCTCAACTAAATCAGCAGTACGGTAGTGGAGCCTCGTACTGATGTCCTCTGTCAAACAGTGCCACTCACCTGATCTGAAGCCAAGTCAGCATGGGGGTGGTGCCTCCTCCAAACACCCAGACGGTGAAGAACACGAGGAGCAGTGTGGTGGTAAACATCATTTGCTTGGGCTGAGATTCTGTGTTCCGAATAGCTAAGGCAAACGCGATTGCTCCTCGCAAACCTTGCAGGAAAAATTAAAAGAGAAAATAAACATCTAGCACGTCCCATTCTCTTCTCAATGGATTTAGCTTCACAATTTGCTAACACAATTACTTTTTATCCTTTTTAAATTTGACTTATCATTATCATTATTATTCTTTAATTTGCTGCAGGGTACCAGACACACACACACACACACACACACACACACACACAGAGAGAGAGAGAGAGAGAGAGAAAGAGAGAGCGAGAGAAAGTGAGAGAGAGAGAGAAAGTGATAAAGTAAGCTGCCAGATCTGAGACTCAGATTGTGGTCAGCCATGTGGGAGTCCAGCACCTTAACCACCATGCCACCTGCTGGCCCACTAACACAATTACTTTTTAAAATTAACTTTTATTTTGATATAATTGTAGATTCACATGGAATTCAAAGAAAGAACTCAGAAGTCCTGTGTGCCTATTGATAATGACCAGGTCTTACAAAACCATACCATAATATCTTAACAAGAGTACGGACATGGATACCATCAAGATACAGAACATTTTCATCACCACATGCATCCCTCATACTGACCTTTCATAACTAGCCCTCCTTCCTCCTTTACATGCCCTGCTTAATTCGTGGAAACTAGTAATCTGTTCTCTATTTCTATGATGTTATCCTTTTAAGAATGTTATATAAATAGAATTAGACAGTACTGGAATTTTAGAATTGCCTTTTCAGTATAATTCTCTAGATATTCATTGGAGTTGTCAAATGCATCAATACTTTGTTCCTTTTTATTATTGAGTAGTATTCTTTGGCATTGGGTCTTCTGTACTCTGTGTAACATCTATCTATAAAGGACATCTAGGTTGTTTCTGGTTTTGGGCTATTAAAAATAATGGTACTGGGACCAGCAAATGGCATAGGGTTACGTGGTTGGATCCACATAAGCAACTGCAGTTTGAGTCCCGACCTGGCAGCTTAAAACTCACACAGGGTGTGTGTCATGTGTGCCCAAAATCCCAAAAGGAGTGTGGTATCCCTCCTGGGAGGTGATTTCTCACTCTCTCTCTCTCTCTCTCTCTCTGTCTCTCAGATAAGCACATGTGCCCTATAGCAAAAATTCTCTCTAAAAAATGGAAAGAAAAGAAGAATGGTACAAGTGGGATCAGCGGATAGAATAATGGTTATGTTGTTGGACACCCACATGGTTGACCACGGTTTGAGTCCTGGACCTGGTGGCTTGAAACTCACACCAGTCACATGTGCATATGTGCTCAAAATCCCAAGAAGAGAATGGAAGAGAAAGGATTATGGTGTGGCCATCCTCTTTGGGGGGTGATTTCTTGCTTTCTGTCTCTCAGTCTCTCCAATGAGCACACATGCCCTACAGCAAAAATCCCTTTAAGAGAAAAAAGAGAAAAAAAGGTACTAAAATGTGCATACTGGGTTTTGTGTGACAGTAAGTTTCATTTCTCTGAGATAAACACCCAGGATACAATCACTGGGTACTATAGTATTTGCATGTTTAGTTCTTAAGAAATCATGGAACTCTTTTCCAGAGCGACTTCCATTTTACAGTATATGAGTCATCCAATTTCTCTGCATCCTGGCCATATTTGGTGTTGTCACTACTTTTTATTTTAGCCACTTTGATAGGTATGTGGGAATTGTCTATTGTGGCTTTAAGATTTTTTTTTTTTTTTTTTTGCCACAGGGTGCATGTGCTTGCCAAAAACAGAGAGCCAGGAGCAGAGATAGAGGGAGAAAAAGCACCCCTCAGTGTGATATGGGCATGTCACAATCCCTTCTCCATTTCTCCATCCAGTTGGAATTTGGGGCATGCATGCACAAGAGCCTGGAGTATTTTCTAAGCCAGTAGGGCTGGGATTTGACCCGTGGTTGGCTATGAAGTATCCTGTTCTCTTCTAGGCTACGAAATTGGCCCTGTGATTTTTAATTCTCATTTGCCTATGATTAACAGTGTTGAGCATTTTAAAATGCACTTATTATCTTCATAGTCTCTTGGGTGAGATGGGCCATCACATCTTTTTTCCACTTTCTAATTGGATTGTTGAATTTTTTGATAGTTGAGAGTTATTAGTCCTTTGTTGGATATTTGATTTGCAAATATTTTTTTCTCACTACGTTTCTTTTCTTTCCATTCCCAGAAAAAATTATTTTGCAAGTAAAAGTTTCGAGTTTTGATGAAATTTAATGTATTGATTTTTCCTTTTATGAAGTGTTTTCAGAAACAATTTAAGAACTCTTTTCCTAACTCTAGATCTCAAAGATTTTCCCAATGTTTTTCTATCTTTTTTTTTTTTGTTTTTGGGTGGGGGAGAGGTTTTTGCTATAGGGTGCGTGTGCTCGCCAGAAAGACAGAAAGAGACAGAGAGATAGAAAGTGAGAAATCACCCCCCAGGGGGGATGGTCATGCCGCAATCCCTTCTCCTCCATTCTCCTCTCGGGATCTTGGGCATGCACGCACATGTGCCCAGCGTGAGTTTAAGCCACCAGGTACGGGGCTTGAACTGCGGTCGACTACATGGAAGTCCAGTGACATAGCCATTGCGCTAACTGCTGGTCCCTTTCCCTATGTTTTTCTAAAAGTGTTATAATTTTACATTTTACATTTAAGGCTATGATTATTCTGAGTTAACTTTCGTATAAGGTAAGAGGTTTAGGTTTACTATTTATTTATTTAGCCTATGAATATCTAATTGCTGTGTTTGATTGCACTGGACCTTTGTGAAAAATCAGTGGGGTCTATTTTGTGGGTCTGTTCCTGAATTTTCTATTCGGTTCCATTGATCTCTGTGTCTATTCTTCCTTTAATAGCACACTGTCTCGATTATTGTAGCTACACAGCAAGCCTTAATGTTGGGTGGAGTAATTCTTCCTACTTAATTTGTTGTTGTTGTTGTTTCCTAAATTGTTTTCATCCAGTCTAGTTCTTTTATCTTTACACGAAATTTTAGAATAAGATTGTTTACAGCTATACAAACAGAAACAAAAACATAAAACTTCCTGAGCACAACTGCTTTTTTTAAAAACCAAATGTGTCAGACAATAAGAAAAACCACTAAAAGTTCATAAAACTGAAGTGACAATTAAGAATTACTCTAGACTGATCATAGACTTTATAAAAGTCTATAACTACCCTGCTTTTTTTTCTTATTTTACCTTTCCTCCTTTAATGACAATATGCTAATTGAATTTGTATGAATCCATCTGAAATCTACTTATAAGATGTATTAAAAATTAAAGAATATAGTTTCAAATCAAAGTGTGATAACATTAATAAAAATAGAAATGTAGGCTATGAAGAAAAATGAAATAAAACCACAAAAAGTAAATGGAAGATCCCTTGTGGGTTACCCAAGGCTTGTGAGACATTTACGGTCCTTGTATTGTTTAACAGGACACGTAAGGATTTATAATGAGAACAAATAGAAGTCAAAGAGGTAGAGATTTCGTTATTTTTATAGGAATGTTTAAATCACATACATCCAATTTCAAAGATCCACTTTTTATAATGTTTACTATAGCACCACGATTTCTAAATTTCCACGTCCTCCCTCATACATAAAGGACTTTGAAAAATTAGATACAGAGTATATTGAGGAAACCTATAACCATTGTGGCTTTTTTGCTTCTATGCTCCTAACTTAAAATATAATGCCCCTTTTTTATTGCCACACTGAACACAGACAAGAGAAAAATGGAATCGCACGAGATCCGGGGGATTAGACTAGAGAGACTTAATACATTTCGCCTGAAACAAGGAAGGCTAGAAAGAGAGAACATGTATTATGATTGCAAAATACCTTCAAGGAACAAAATGTAATGGAGGAAGGAAATTATTCTAAATCTCCATGTAGACAAGGAAATGGCCTGAAGATAAGGAAGATAACATTTGAAACAGATATTAATAATAAAAAAAAAAAGTTCTTATACATCAGGAATCCTGAACACTTAAGATGACTACTCAGAAGGAAAGTGCCCCAACCAGAAAAGAGCATGCACTTCCAGAGGGTGACAAAAGTGTGGGCACAGAGATAGCCTGTGATCGGGACCAGCAGTTGGCATAATGGCTATGTCACTGGACTCCCATGTAGTCAATTGCAGATTGAGTCTTGGACCTAGTGGCTTAAACTCACGCCAGGTGCATGTGCGTGCGTGCCCAAGATCCCAAGAGGAAAATGGAGGAGAAGGGATTGTGGTGTGGTCATCTCCCTGGGTGACTTCTCGCTTTCCATCTCTCTGTCTCTCTCTCACATGTGCCCTATAGCAAAAACCTCTCTCAAAAGAAAAGAAAAGAAAAGAAAAGAAAAGAAAAGAAAAGAAAAGAAAAGAAAAGAAAAGAAAAGAAAAGAAAAGAAAAGAAAATAGCCCATGATCCCGGAGACTGTTTCAGTACTATTCTCCAGGAAATGAAAAATGGTACCATCATTAGCGAACGGACCTCAAAGAAACAGTCTCACAAGAGATTTCTGTATCCGAGAAGAGAATTTATCGGTCAAGGTACAGTTCTAGCAGTGTTTAATCACAGCATGATATTGGAGATGGAAGGTCGTCTTTTCATTGTCTCATTTCCTCAAGCTCATGCTTCTAGAAACGCCCATAGGATCTTAGCTATTAGAGAGAGGAGGAGATGAGCTAAGTTATTTGTTTTTATAGTAATATATTTTGTGTGTGTGTGTTTTAAAAACTTCAGTTTTGGTGAAAAAGAAAGGAATAGAATCTAGAATACAAATGAAAACTTGCTATGCCATGCTTACTGTAAACTCTGCTATGCTGGGTATCGAGGGCCAAGAAGGAAGCCATCATTAATCTTCCTAAGGGCGCTTAATAATATATCGTTATTATGTTAAACTAGCGTAACTCTGCTTTTAAATCTAAATAATCTTAATACATGAGCAATTTTTGGTTTAAAAATATACTCAAAATATATCTATTATTCTGACTTCCAAAAAAAAACCCCAGTCTAGGTTACCAGCAGTTAGTGTAATGGCTAATTGCTGGACTCCCAC